CCATCCACACTTTTTAAAGCACTTTTTCCCTGCTGGTTTGGGTGAATAGGCAGGGGGGAAATGCTTTAAAAAGCGGGGGGAAAGCTAATCCGTGTGATCCTCAGAAGCTTTTTTTTTAATACTACCGGTTCGCGGAACCAACGACAATCGTCCCTACCAGTTCCGCCAAATCGGGAGGGTTTTACCCCTGTTCCAAACCCTGTGAGCAGTCACCAGAACTGTACTAAATGGACAGACAAAAGGTGATGTATTAATGGTAAATGGAAGTGTAGTCGTCATTTGCCATTTATGGGGTTTATTATAAGTGGACAAATTAATAAGATTCCATGCAGAATGAACAGAAAAACTGATGCAGGAGCAATAATCTAACCAAAATCAGTTTCTAGAAGAAAGAATCCTCTTTCTTTGTGCCCTCAGTTAGGAATGTGCAGTGTTTTTATAAAAAAACGATTAAAAGGACATTTGTTACATTACCTGTTCAATTCATCAGCTCCCAATCCATAAATATTTTTTCTGCGAACAATTACGAATGCAAAGTTATAATAATATGCATAGCTAAAATAATATGGTGGTTATTGCAAAAAATACTTTGCGGGTCAAACTGGGAATGTCATTGTTATTGTGACAGAATCAGCATCTTAATTTCTTTCTTTCTTTTTTTTGCTAGTCTGCAGTTTGGAAAGAGTTACTGTTAGCTACAATTGGAGAACAGTTTACAGACCATTGTGGGACAAGTAAGAATATGTTTTTATTATTTGATGTTTGCTTTAATTTGTGAGCATCTCGTTCCTAAGCTCACTGACCATTTTAATTTAGCTGGCCAACATTTGCTAGGACTTTCACATTCAGAGTGGATTGGTTTTTGGCCTGAGTCAGCTGGTACTAAAAGGTACCTCTACTGATTTTTCTCAAACTTTATCTAAGGGTGAAGCCAAGAGAAACAGTAGTTTCATTCAGTTATACGTGTATATGTTTGACATGCCTGATAGCGGTTTTTGTAATTCTTTTTTGTAAGGATTAGCTTACAAAATCTGCCTGGTTTTTATGGGTGCAAAGTGGAAACAAGGCTATCGCCCACACCTACGCAAAAGGAAGAGAAAACAAAATAGGATTTTAGAAAAGATAATGCTATGCTTTATCTGCTAGCACTGTTCCCAAGCAGAATGGAAAGGTTGACTTGCATCCTGGTGTGTAGCTTAGAAAGAGAGCAGTTCCTCTTGACGAGGTCAAAACAAAGAAAGAGAAATTTTAGATCATAGAGTCAAATACATAATCAGTGAAGGAATCTAAATTAAAAATATCCCCAACAGATGGGACTGTCTCATCTCTGCCTGAAAATAGGCAGTGAATGGAACCCACCTTCTTGACTGGGTCATTGATTCCACTGTCAAACTGCTCTTACCATTGGGAAAACCTTCACTTGTGTGACATCCTTTCAACTATTTATCGTTTTACTCTATTTTTATACCCTCGTATGTTATCCCCTCAGGGTTCTCTTGACTAAACATACCATGTTCTTTCAGTTTAAATGTATGGGGCTTTGTTTTTATCCACAACCATTCTCTCTGAAATAATCTTTTCATCTGTTTCAGTTTCTCTGAATCCTTCTTAAAGTGCAATGCCCAAAGTGGACAGTGTGTTGAAATGGGGTTTGTCCAACACAGAATATCACAGAACAATTATTTGATTTGGAAACGATACAGTGTAACATTACATTTGCCCTTTTGCAGCCACAGTATACCACTGATTTATATTCTGCTTGCAATCAAACAGAATATTCTGTGTGCAATTGACTCGTACTTAGAGCCCTTTTTGCAAAGTACCATCAAGTCTGCAGCTTGTTTATTTTGTTTCCAGCATTTGATTTTTGTTTCCTAAAGTGAAAAGATTTACATGTATCTTCATTAAAATCCATCCTGTTATTTTTCTCTATCAAGATCTTTTGGTTTTTTTTTTCTTCTAATATATTCCTTACCCCACATATTCATCTGCAAATTTGATAAATGTTCGCTATACCTCTTTATAAAAATTGTTAATAAAAATACAGCGTACAGGACACATATCTGAAGCCACTCAGTTATTTCCCTTTATTGTAATAAGGAGATTTTGATTAGTATTGTGTAAATTTTTGAGACAGTACGTATCTATTTAATTGTCATGCCTTGTCATCCATCCCATACTAAATTTAAAAGGTAAATCAGGGAGACCTCATCAGATTACTTTACTAAAATCAATATATGTTCCTTCTCCATCATTCCATATTCTGTGGAATAAGGATAATGCTTGTTCTTGACAAAGCTGTGTTGATGTCTTGTAATTGTCATACATTTTTGCAAGATGTTTACAGATTAATGTCTTTATGATATGTAATAGAATCTTACCTGGTACTGTAAGTCTGTAGTTCACTGGATTATTTTCCCCCCTTTTTGAAAATGAGGACAACATCCTGTTGTCATCTACACTATGTTAGTTCATATGATTTCTTCAAAAAGATTTGGCCAGATACTTTAGAATGGAAAAAAATAAAATAAAGCTGGAAGGGACCTTGGAGGTCTTCTAGTCCAGACCCCTGGCTCAAGCAGGAGAATCTGTATTATTTCAGATAAGTGGCTGACTAGTTTCTTGTTAAAAGCCTCCAGTGATACCCACAATTTCTGAAGGCAAGCTATTCCACTAGTTAATTGTCCTCACTGTTAGGAAGTTTCTCCTTAATTCCAGGCTGCTTCTCTCTTTGGTTAGTTTCCAACCACTGTTTCTTGTCCTGCCCTCTGGTTTGGAGAATAATTTGCCCCCCCCCCCTCTTCTTTGTGGCAGCCCCTCAAATACTGGAATACCTCTTATCATGTCACCCCTAATTCTTATTTTCTTTAGACTAGCCAAACCCAATTCCTGCAGCTGTTCTTCATGTGTTTTAGTCTCCAGACCTTTGATCATCTTAGTTGCTCTTCTCTGAACTTTTTCTAAGCTCTCAACATCTTTCTTATAATATGGTAACCAAAATTCGTTGCAGTATTCCAGGTGTGGTCTTCCTAGGGTTTTATAAAGTGGTACTAGTACTTCATTGATCTTGATTCTATGCCTCTGTTTGTTCCTTCAGTACCATGAGATGCAATTATTTTTGAGTTTTAGCTTTGCTGATAATTTCTACACCTGAAGGATATATGTATGCACTTTTTTATGACCTGCGCCTCTTTCCATGTTCTATATATATTTATGCAGCTACATTAACTTCTGTTGCCATCCATTTTCTTCCTGTCATTAGGCATTTTGCTTTTAAGTATCTTTTTAGGAACTTCCATCAGTCTTCAGCGCCTTTTATTATTACCTTCTCCTGCCATGGATTCATCCTTCCTTGGAATCCGAAATACACAGCTGACTATTTGGACTTTACTTTTCCTTAAAATCAAGACCTCATGTGCTATAGTTACTTTTTTCCTAACGTTCATGGCTGCTTTCTGTTCCTTGACTAAGTCCTCCCTTCCCTTCTAGTTAGTGTTACACAGTGGTGAAATTCTTTTTTTTTTTACTACCAGTTCTGTAGGCATAGCTTGGTGGGCGTGGTGTGGTTTGGTGGGCATAGTTTGGTGGGTATGGCAGGGGAAGGATGCTGCAATATCTCCATTCCCACCCCACTCTGGGGCCAGCCAGAAGTGGCATTTGCCGGTTTCTCCGAACTACTCAAAATTTCCACTATTGGCTCTCCAGAACCTATCAGAACCTGCTGGATTTCACCCTTGGTGTTACATCTGGTATAACTGATTCTCTTACACAATACTGCACCCTCTGAAGCTCAGTATAGAAATAACGAGGTGGAATCTTTAGCATTGCATGTCAAACAACGTAAACATGTATTTTCATTGTGATTGTTACACTTTATTTAATAAGCTCATTTCGTGTGTCTATTTGTAGGGTAAGAGTTCTGTATTAAGTTGAACATATTTCTATCACCTGACTCCCAACAACTCTGGTCAAAAGCATTGAAAACAGTACCAAAGTAAATAAAAATAAAGTCAAAGTTGGCAAAGATGACAAAACTGGATAGGAATGAAAAAGAACAGATCTCCTTAGCCCAAAGGAGGCTTCAGTCATCCTTGCCAAAGGCCTGGGCAAAGTCTTTTCAAAAGCAAAATAATATTGTGTTTTTTCCCCAACAGATGATGAAGTAATTGGCATCAGTGTCAGTGTTCGTGACCGGGAAGATGTTGTTCAAGTCTGGAATGTAAATGCATCATTAGCAAATGAAGCTTCAGTTTTAGAAAAGATCCATGAGCTTCTTCCCCAGACATCTTTTAAAGCAGTTTTCTATAAACGTAAGTGGTCTCTGCACGCGATGTAAGTCGAGCGCAGTATTTACAAACTGTATCAACAAAATCTGTTTAAGACTCACGAGCTGTCTTGCCTTTCAGCCCATAAAGAACATCATGCTTTTGAAGGTAGACGTGGGAGACATTAACTAGGACAGAACTTGGAAGATTTTTCTAAGAACACCGCAACAGAAAGATGGACAAAACATTTACAAAAGCACCACAACCCTTAGTGTATTTTTTTAGACCTTCGTATTCCTCTTGAGCCGCTGGTACTGAAAAGCAAGAACTGCTGCCTCAGTAGCTGATACTATTTTGATTTCTCAGCTCAATAAATCAGTTTCTTTTAGTATTCCTTTCTTTTTAAGGTAGAAGACTACAGCAAATTCTCAGTATCTGCTTAAACTGCAAATGTGCACAAGCATGATATGCTGCTTCCCCCCCCCCCCCTCTAGATCTGAATCTAAATAAATCATAGCTTAGGGAACCATGTTTTCTGAATTTGTTTTTAGACATTCCTATCATGTTCACATCTAGTTGTAGTTTTCTCCCCCCCCCCAATGTACACTGTTCTAATCCACAATGACAAATTGAATCATGCCAATTCTACCCAATCTCCATTAAACAAATTGAGCTTTCACTACACCTCTTCTATCCGGCTTGCTACTTAGCACCCCTCAGCCTTTGCACTTGCTAATGCTGATGCTGTAAAGATGTTTTAATAATCACTGAACAAAGCCTATAAACTGAGAATACAGTTCTATTTTGACAAAGTCTGGGGGGAAAAGCCCTTAAGAAAGATTGACTTGATTCACACCCCTTAATCATACACCCCCATTCTTGAAATTCTAAGCTAGGCAATGCTTAGATAGAAGCACTGTTTGTGATTATGTATCTACTGTGATTTCTATGATAGTAGCAGCAGTTGAGTTGCTACAGTTGTGCTGTTAGTGCAGAGACTACAGTCAAGTGTGAAGCAGTCAATTGTTAGTTGATGTCTGTTTTATGGCTATTTCAAAAATCTTAACGTAAAAGAATGAATAAGTTTTTGTCCGGAAACCCTACAACTTTTATTTCTTACGTTGTTTGATTTTTTTTTTTTCTTATCTCACTATATATTTTATGTATCTCTGAAAAACAGATAATGCTTTCTACTACGTTCTCACTTAAAATACAAAGCTTCACATTTCTTCTTCTTCACACACTTATAATAATATACCTCCCCCACATCATCCTCATTATGATAACAACAGATACTTTTTTTATCCTTTAAGGTCAATATCAATTGAATAGTACCTTTATGGTTAACATAATCAGTACAATTTTGTTTAGTTATAAATTATAACGCCTTAAGTACACTTTTCAGCATAGAGAGAAGTCAGTTATGTTTTAAAGCATGAATGTGAAGTTTTCAAATTAGTTTGCGTGATTTCCTCCCCATACTAATTTATTGGAGGTTGCAATACATTTTTATTTTTTATTACAAAACCAAAGATTTATTTAGTTCCTCAGCAGAGGACGCCGATGTGCTAGAGGGAACGTTCATTCCCATCTAAGCAGAATTACTGGATTAGTATTAGTATTTTGAAAATTGTTCTGACTGCACTGATATCAACTCACATTTAATCGTATAAGAAGGTGACTGTTGGAATTCAGTACATTTATGAATCAAGTTTTTTTCTTTTTAATTTTGTACTAGTTCATCTGTATTTATGAATTAAACTTGTGCATTTACCGAACCTTATTAAAAGTTTTATAAATTCATGTGTATAGTCAATTATTGCATTCCATTATATCTACACTTCCCAGACCTCAACGTACATAGATACATATTCATGATTCTTTCAAGAACTTAGTGCTGTATAGTATATCTACATCTACTAATAAAAGTTGGAGCTGAAGAAGGTATAAATAGAATGGCAAAAAACATTAGTGATAATTTGTCCCATTGAGAAAGCTGTTGATAAATGGATTGAAATATAATTCATTTAGAACATTCACAAGGTATTTTTAGACATACCACTGTCAGCTTCCTCTTTATGTTATTTAGCTCAGGAAAATATAGAATGGTCGCTTCCTCATGTGGCAGAGTGATCCAGTAGTTATTTTCCCGACTGTCAAGGTAAAGGAACCTTCAGAAACTTGATCCTATTCAGAATGCACAGAGCCCCAAATTTTTGTTTTTGTTTCAAACGGCACCAACTAAATTGGACAAAAATTTTTTTAAATCCTTGGAGACAATAGTGACACAGTTTATATGGCAAGGCAAGAAAGCACGAATTAAAGCCCAAACTTTACAAAAACGCAGAGAACTGGGAGGCTTCGGAGTACCCAACTGGGAAGCATATTACAACGAAGCAATCATGGCATGGGTGAAATATTGTGTAATGTTGAATAGAAGGCGCCTGTTGGGTATCGAGGGACATGACCTCCCCCAGGGA